ACCTACTAGCGATGGCCTCCAACCTATTAGCGATGGCCTCCAACCTACTAGCTGTGGCCTCCAACCTACTAGCGATGGCTCCAACCTAATAGCGATGGCCTCCAACCTAAACCTCGTAGCAATGGCCTCGAACCTACTAGCGATGGCCTTCAACCTAGTAGCGATGGCCTCCAACCTACTAGCGATGGCGTGAACAATGTGTCTACCCGTGCGCAGCCTTAGCATTCTGGTCCTCAAGCCGGCCCGCAACGCTGCAAGTCGAGGAACGTTCTTTGCACAAGCTGCTGCCTGAAAAGCAGATTCCACAGCCAAAGCAAAGTGACTGGAGTAACAAAAATCGCACGACGATCTTGTCCGGAACCCTCAAGCAAGACATGTCGCCCTAAGCAAACAGTACATTCACCCACTTAGAAGACTTGCAAGTCAGTGTTACCTTGGGAGTCAAAGCTGTCTGTACAATGGCCAGGCCGCTCTGAGAGTGCTGATCTTCCCACTAGTCCGGAAGTCCGGGAATCCAAAAATCCAACTTGAAAGATATTGAAACGGTAGATTGCGGTGACAATATAAATGGATGATACAGTACATGACAATAGTGATTTAATTGTTCTATTATTTAAAAACAACAAGCCCAAGAAGTTTCGCCCCACTTGGACGGCGCCCAAGAAACTCCTTTCTCGAGCGGCGGTGTGAAGGGTTTCTTTGAGTGTCGCTTGGTGCATACGCGTTGAACATAGCCTTTGCAAGTTACATGACCCTCATAAAAGGAAACTTAAGCCCACGGTCTTGCGACGCTTTTCTACCAAAGCTTTGGACTCTCCAGTCAACTTGTTTTCGCAGAAGAATGCAAAACAAAGAGCTACAACTGTCGGGCAACTACGTATTTAGGAGGTGAGCCTTCTGATTCTGGGCATATATAGATGCATAAAGGGTCATCATTTTTATGTACAAACTCTCTGTTGTTTTCTGCATTCAAGACACGTCAGAGTGGTAGAGCTGCAATGATGCGGCAGCATTTCAGCAGCATGACGAAGCAGCAACAAAAAGCACGTCACATGATCCAAGAAAAAACAGGAACATCATGCAAATTGCGCGATACTCGGCGCACATTCTCCCACTTCTACCGATACTTTGCGACTGCTCCGTGTTAGTCTGAGGCTTCGAATTCCCGCTTCCGAGCTTGGCATATTCGCCGCCATGATAACTAATATGAAACTTCCAATGAGCATCTGCAGGGTTCTTGTATGGGATGAGGTTGCTTATGCTTGACCAGTACAGCGCTAATGAGAGACTGGGGCAACCTGGACCGAAATGTCTGTCTGTTCATATTGGAATATCCAGGAATCTTCAGCACATGGGCCAAACAAGCAATGCCGCATGCCTGCTTGACAAAATCCTCCTCAGTTTCAGTGACCAAGTCCTCAGCGGCAATCTTCTGTCCCTGGAAAGGGTCTTCTCTATTGAGTCTACTGGCTCACTTCTGCCCACCTTCAGCACCCATTCTCAATTCTGGCTAGTACTAGTAAGCAGAGGCAAGGCACACCGAGCTGAACGGCTGAAAGCAAAGAAGATCCAACATTCTGTGCCTAGGCAAATGACAGCTCAGCTAATCGGAATGACCTAGCTCACTCAGCAGCTTGCGTGAATGCCTCGCCCTTTGAGCGTTACAACGGGCACTCCCATGTAGAGTGCCTTCAATGGAGTAAACAAAATGACAGACCAAGTGAAGCATTAAACTATGCGAGATACAAGAGCCCAGCCTCACAAGTAGTTGTGGTGCCTGCATAAGGTGCAGTATCTAAGGCCACATCAATAAAGCCTGAAATCAACGGAGAATGAGTTCGAAACTAAACTACATTGTCACACCATGAATTCATGTCACTGCTGTACACTTTCGGTTGAGGTCACTGCTGTACATATGAAGATGGCTACCTGTTTGTGGCTGCAAGCCAGTCCTTGTCCCCAACTGATGCAAGCTTGGGCGTGTTTCTCTTGCCTTCGATATGTTTTCTACTGAGTGCATGACAAGTCAAGGCGAGAAGCTTGAATGTCATGCCTCAGCCAGGTGCCATGCTTTCACAAAGCTTGTATTTAAAAAGTCAGTGAAGATCAAGGGAAAACAATTTGTTGAGCCTCAGCCAAGAATGCTGGGCGTGTCACTTTGAGTCTGGACATTTGGTGTACAAAATCCCGGCTCTGCTCACGCCAAGTGGCGCAGCAAAAGCAGCCCTCATCTTTTCCTGCACTTTTGGGCACGCCAATGCCTGGAGCACGTTGATGTATCTGTTCCAGTGTGCTTGATGAATCCCTCAAACTCACCCTGCCTTTGACTTTACAAACAAGCGCGAGTCTGGAACCTTTGAACAGAATGCCCCATGCACATTGTTGGAAGCAAGGAATGCGGCAAGGAATGCGGCAAACTGCTTGAACAGAAACTCTCAGCCTCGTGTAACAGCTTGCTCCACATTCTGACTGTGAGGCTGCTGACCTAGCTGTAACGATTCTATGCCGGAATGCCGCCATAGGTTTAAATCTTGCTAAACTGACAAGCATTCAACTAAATTACAGTTCCATGCCTTCGCTAAATTGTTGAAGCATCCGAAGGTGATGCACCCGTAGGACTCCTGCGCTGGCCTGAAAGTATCATGACTTGGCAGTGAAGCAATGCTATTAAGGCCAAGCACCCTGCTTGAGGACGACAGGCGGTGCAGTCTCGGGAGGGGTGTAGCAAAGAAAGCATTCCTGCGATGTTCGATCACTTCTCGGAAGCATCATTCAGGCTGCCTTGGGCTGCTCCGTGATTTCCTTGTGAAGCCAATCGACTATGCGAAGAGCTCTTTAAGAAAGCTCTCCCTGTCATCAAGTGGGGGACCTAGGTAGCATCCTTGAACAACCCAGCTTACTTTCCTTGCTTTCTCGCCTGTTGCTTACTCAAGTAGCAAACACCTTAGACACGGCACCAAAAATTAAAAAATGTTTCAAAAATATATGCCAAAGTTAGTCGTAACAGTAGTAGTAGTAGTAGTAGTAGTAGTCGTAGTCGTAGTACTAGTCGTAGTCGTAGTCGTAGTCGTAGTCGTAGTGGTGGTGGTGGTGGTAGTAGTAGTAGTAGTCGTCGTAGTAGTAGTAGTAGTCGTGGTGGTGGTGGTGGTGGTCGTCGTAGTAGTAGTAGTAGTAAAAGGTCTATAAAAGCGTATCTAAGCGTTCTTCTTTATAGCAAAAGGGAGTCCCAGAACTGAAGAACCTTTTCTCGCCCGGCCCTTGCAGGTAGCTACTTCTCCCCCTTGTCTTGCCTAGCCTACCTAGCCATGCCTAGCACTGCCTAACCGCTAAAATCTAGGAACCAAATGAATAGTGCGAGTGCTATCCTGCGTCCTGTCGGTAGTAGCTACTTAAGCTACTAGCTACCGCTTGCTTCTACTAGCTACCTCTAGCGGTCTACCCCCCAAAAAAAAGGGACGGTGTATGTATATATATATATTGTTATAGTATATAATAATAACAATAACAAAAATAATAATAATAGTAATAATGATAACAATAATTGTAATATAATATAAATAAGTAAATATCAATACTCTGCAGGATGTTTGTTGCGTCAGAGACATTACCTGCATTGTGCAGTTTTTGCGCCGCCAGGAACGCTTGTCTCGTGCAAGACCGCTGTCCGGCAGGTACAAAATCTTTTCGGTTGTAAGACCTGACATAGACAGCACTGCTGTCACAGCATGTATTATTTGAGTGGCCCTTTTTGTATGGACTTGAACCAATGTGTTTTCTGCTGGGTCCAGCCTGGTGCATCCATTGGATCTGCAAACCTTAGGCACTGAAGAAGGACAGCCGAGTCAGGAGCAAAAGCTCAGTTCATGAAGCTCGAAAAACTTCGCAACTGGGGAGTTGGCTCATCTGAGATTCTATAATCCATTCTGG